CAAATAAACATTAACTCTTTACAGTCAGAAAGTAAAGTTTTGTTTTAATATTTGGTACACTTTAAACGGTGCTTAAGATAAGATAAAATAATTAAAGATTCCTGGAAAAAATATCTTTTTCTGTAAACCCTCTTTCGAGAATTTTCTTTTTCAAGCACCTCGACAAACTCACTCATTTAGCTAATAAACCCCACTGCCTCAAACGCCTTTGCTTGAACTTAACCCATGGCAGACCGAAGCAAGAAGCCGCAAAAATGCAAAATAACCAAGCAACAAGAATCAAATGTGAACAGACTATTGTCTACGGCCATGTCTGGATATGCAAATTCTGCGACCAAGCTGCATTATGCATTAAATAGCAGCCAGCACCCACAGCGAGAAATTATAGCAAATGAATTGATTTTTCCCCTCCCTGTTCGCGGTGTAGGTCTATTTTTAAAAGCAAATAGTGCACTCCGTATAATCAAATTGTTATCGATTTGGTAGCAAAAATTCTTAGAGAACTTGGAATTATGCGGTTCTTAACCATAAAGAAATCCGATTATATGTATATTGCAACCGGCTGACCGTTGCAAACGGGGTTGATTAAAGATAAGATAGCTACGTGCATATGTACCAAACCAGACGACGTGTTTTAAAATTGTTTTTGGCAAAAGCAGATAAACCCGCATTTTGTCACAATGCGTGAGTTACATATAAAGTAATTTGCAAGATTTTATAAGGTTATCAAATTTATTAAAAATATATTATCGGGCAATAAATTTATAAACCAAATATTTTCTTGTTGATAAGCGAATACCACATTTTATAAGGGCAACGATAAGGTAGAAAATGTTCATAGATATCATTTGTCTGTATACTAATTTCTTTGGAAATTGTTATAAAACTATCAAAGATGAAACGTGAACTAATAAACCAGTTTTTATAGCAATCAGATAGTAGTTGACCCCAACAAACCTAGAAAAAGTATATAGATACTGTTTAAAAGTAGTTGAATAGCGAATTTTAACTGGTTTATAAGTGGAGAATCATTGTTGATTCTGATATAACCACCGTTCTTTTTGCCGTCCGACAAGTTCCATTTATTTTTGTTTATTTTTCGTGTAAACAACGCACTTGACACATATCGAAGAGAGCCGGCAGCGGCGAAACTCCATCGAGAACCGCCTCGAAACTGTAACTCACAGATAAACCCGTTCCACAAGTATTCGAGCTATGCGAGAAACCGAGTGATAATGTGGGGGAATACTCGTATCCGGGGAGCAAAATTCATTGACCGATCTGCAGACAACGATCGTAGTGAAAAAGGGCTGTTTGTTTGTTTTCATTTAGCCCCAAGAAGGCGAAATAATTTAATTAAATGTCGCGCAGTAAGACGGCAGAGAAAAATAAAAAACTACGCAAATGAAGTGCAAGATATACTGGGTGGTGAGGGGTGGTGGTTCCTGGTCTGTTTTTGTCATGGTGGTTGCCTGAACTTGAGCAAATTGAATGCCAGACAGGGTCGACAAGCGGGCGAGGGGGTGGCAATGGAGCTTTCTTTGTGTTTCTGCACTTGACTTTCGGCACAACGTCGCCGTTTTATTGCCAAAAATATAAGTACGCCTGTGTGGGTATCAAAGCAAACAGAATGCTGAACGAGTTGCGAATCACTTTGTTTCAAGGCAGAGAGCCTTGACGGCAGCGGTTCAATGAACGTAGCGAAAAAACTCCAAAATACCGCTCCAAACACCGAACAGAACTGAAAAGGAACCGGTGCTCCGTGCGGTGTGTTACCCGATTGATATACGCGATGGAACTGATCACTCTGGGATCGCTCGTTATATCTAAAAGCAATTAAAGGCGAGCAAAATATTCCACATTCACGAGGCTGTTTGACGTGCATTATTGTCAGGCGTTTAGCATGTTTCCGCTAAGGTGAAATATTGATGAAAGTCCGTCAGTAACCCCATAAAGATTGTATTCTTTGAATAGAATTTTTCTTCTCCCTCTATATTTGATCTGTTTACCATCTGTCGAGCTTTTTTTTTCAGAATTTTGTTTAGCTAAGAGCGAACTTGTCTTTAAGAGCATCTATTAACTTTATTCTAAATTCAGAAAAATCTTTAAAAATCTGACTAGTAAATCCTGTAATTCTGAAAAAAAATGTGTAGTATCTAACAGATAAATAAACTGATAGTAAACTTTTCCATTAAATGAAATTATTCCAGTTTAGTAATCAGATAGTTTCTTAAATTGCGAATAACAAAATGTGGAACGCTTTAAAGATCATAACAAACATTAAAGGCTTATCAGATTTGTGTGCTCTCATTTCTGAATGGAAAAACTTTTGCGAAGATCTGTTGCTTTCATTTCAGAATTTAAAACATCAACATGTTATCGCACTTTAAACATTTATTTTGTATATGTTATGATGACTAATGAATTTCTGTCTATAAAAATCTATCTTTTTTTTACACTTTTGTTATTCTTTGTGCTGTGAAACTTCTGCTTATCTGCCTAATATATAAGTCAAATCCCGATCCTCTTATGGAATTTCCACAGTCTGAAGATACGCTTCTTTCGCAAATCAAATGTTTGCTTTTGGTTTACGGTTATCTGAGCTTTTGAGATGTTTTTTTATTAGCATCACCGACCGGCAAAAAGGGTCAACCGCTGACGACGAAGGTCACTGTTCGCTTGATGATGCTGCCCACTGTGCAACATGATCGCCGGGCCCCTCCCCCTTCCCCATCCACCGTCAGTGTTGCATTTTCCAGGCTTGCTGCATCTGTTGTAAATGCGGGCGTACATTACATAGGTGCCATATAAGTATATACTAACGTGTACATGGGTGCTTCTAGTGCCTGTGTGTGTGTGTGATAACGAGTCAGAAATGCGATTAGATTTCATTTGTGTCACTCAAACTGCCCACACACACACACAGACGAACTGATGGGGTCCCAAATGTGCGAAACTTCATTCATTACTCATACGCCCCCCTTGCATACCCAAACCCGTTTTCACCTACGCCCCTGGCAACCCTGGAATTACTATGTATGACTAATCATTCGACCGGCTAACGGCACTTATCAAATTAAAACAACAAAAAAAAAGAAGAAGCGTTATCAATAAACATAGTTTAAACTGTTAGCGGGGATTTACATTTAGGGGGATCTCTAACTACTAAAATCATTATTCTTAAAAAGTAATCCCCAAAGAGAGAGACAGAGAAATATGTTTGTTGCCCCCTCCCACTTACTCTTTCGCTCACCTGCAATGTTGCTGTGTTTATTGTTGTTTTCGTTGCTTCACTGCAGTTCGCCTGTACGTGTGTGTGTGTGAATGTGAGTGGGTTAGTTGTGTGTGAGTGAGTGGGGGGCTCCGTGTGTGTCTGTTGTTTGTGTGTGCGACTCCTCCTCCCCAACTAGTTTTCTTTTCTATATTTTACGACTTTCTTTTCTTTCTTTTTCGGACTCGAATAGACAAACAGACACGGTCACAAGATGACGATGACGACAATGCGACGTCAACAAAAGGAAAAAACAGGAGAGCTGCGCGCACGATACGGATATCCAAGATCCTGGCACTCTTTCGACTTTTCGGGGGTCTCGAATTCTCGAATGCACTGCGATGTCAGTAATACAGCTTATTTACTTATTTTTTTGCACCACGGAACTATTTCTTTCTTTCTTTTTTTTTCTACTCTTCGCTTTGCAATGTGACCATGTTGTGTTCGAATTTTGGGGCGATTTTTTAACACAAAAACGTAGGAAAACGTAAGTGTCGGCAAAACGTAAGTGTCAGTAAAATGGCGAGACAGCCTCAGCGTATGTCAGTGAAAAAGGGAGATGCAAGATGCGAACGTAAGTGTCAACAAAACGTAAGCCACCGTAAGTGTCAGTAAAAAAGGGAGATAGCCTCAGCGTAAGTGTCAGTGAAAAAGGGAGATGCAAGATGTCTAGCATTTATACCGCCCGATTAAAAAATACCTGTGTAGGTATTAAAATATACCAAAAATACTCCAAGCGGTCACCATGCCAACATGGACTAACGCCATATTCTCACTCCAGTTCCTGGGCAATGTTAACTTTTCCATACACATCCTTAAATGTCAATTTTTTCATAATATTTTAAGAGTAAGATAACACCAGTTTAGTAATTGTATAAAATATTGTTTCACAAAGGCCATGAAATGCACTGTTATGCGTAGTGCTTCGTTTTTGAAGGAGACCGGCTTTAAATTTGGGTCGGAAACAATTGAGATTGAGTATTCTTCGTAATTTGACTTCAATGTAGACAAAGTGTGGTGAGTTTAGATAGCGTAGACTCAAACTATTGATAAATTTATAAAATTAGACACAAACCATATATTAAAATTTCTCAGAAATTAAAAGAAATTGCCAGAGGGTCAAAGAGAAAGTCGCGGTTGGTGTTACCAGATCCGGAGAAATATGACTCATGTTCATGAAAAGGATTCAAAAATATTGAATTTTTCAGCTTGAGAATGGATAATATAAAAAATAGGAGAAAAAAAGAGGGAGAAGGTAGCAACAATTTTAAAAAGATAAATTGAAAATTTGATTCCGCAAAACAGGGCCCAATCATAGGCAGTTTGAAATAGTTGAGGACACCTAATTAATCGATATGCAAGTAACTTCATAATCTAGTTTTTTCTATAGATCGAAAAAAAAGGCCTAAACTTAAATCCTACCAAAATGTTCATAAATTAAACAAAATTCTACTATGAGGCTTAATTTCTTTAGTTCCGACATCCACCATTGACAGTTTCCTAAAATGGCGCGCTAAAGAAAAGTAACGTCTTTTTTCCATTTTGGAAAAACTTCACCATAAAAATTCCTAAAATCAAAAAATAAGAACAGCTAGAATTTCGATTTTTATTTACGATTTTATTTAGAATACCATTTTCATTTTCATATAGTTACACGCTAAAATCTATTTTCTCATTTTGTTAACGAACTGATAACAATATTTTTTTCTCGTTTTTCATTTTTTATTCGTTTTTTTTCAGTTTGTGCATGTGCACGGCTACGGTTGTGTTTGTGTGTGTGGTTTTGTGTGTGTGTATGTGAGTGAGTGCTTTTCGTTATAAACATTAGCTCGATGCGATTTGTTGTTGCTGTCGTTTAACTCTAAGTACCTACTTGTAGATGTTCAACGTTCGTACGGGTATACAGTTATTAAATATAGATAATGTGTATTTGCAGTTGCATATTCGATATCGCCACCTTCCTTTTCCATTGGTTGTTTTTCGGTTTTCAATTTCATGGGTTCAAAAAAAAATTATATTATTTTCTTAAAATTTGCGAAAGTAAATTTCAAGATGTAACATTTTTTCAGTTGGTTCATTAAATCCTAAAAATCTAAATTTTTTCAAATTTATTTGGAGTATTTTTCGCTATAATCCATGAATTTGGAAACCGAGAAGCAACCATCTGCCAACGCCAAAACACACATACGCGAAATTGAGCCCCCAACAAATAAGCTTAAATCATAAGACTGTCCTCGTACGTTTGTCCTGATTTCGAAATTCTCTCGAAATCGACGAAAAAACTCAACAAAAAAGCGTCCGGTCCGACAAACTGTTCGATTTAGCGATGGCTTAAATAAAACATAAGAACTAAGTTAACTTAAGGCATACAAATCCGAGACTCGCTCCTTCCGCCGTTTGCATGCTGCTCCGCCCGACCTCCATCGATCTCCATCGATTCCGCCTCCTCCGTCCGTCTGCGATTTACAGTAAAATAATATGTTTTATTCGGGGAATCCCCCCGAGGAGCCTAACACCCCAGTGTGGAGGACTCACTCCTCCGGCGGTTCCTCCGGTATCTGCAGGCTCTGCGCCGCGTGCGGATACTCTGCGTGCACGGAGTTGGAGTGCACGGACTCGGAGTCCTCCTCCAAAGCATTCGCCTTGCTGGGCGGCGGTGTCAGTGCATCCACCGGTGGCTGCACCAGATTGGGGATATACTCCACCGTCTCGTACTCGGTCTTGGCCACCGCCTCGTGGTCCAGATCCCGCTCTAGAACCCGCTCCCTCTCCAGCTCCTGCTGTAGGGGATCCTGAACGGTCGGGGGAACTGCCTCCTCCTGGGCCACACTGACATCCGTTTGGTTGAGTGGAGTCGTCGGTGGGTTGGGCTCCTGGAGTTCCACAATCACGGGCAGCGTTTCGTTGGGTTTCGGTGTCGTGGTGCTGGTGGTCGTGGTGGTGGGCGCAGTGGTGGTTATTACCTCCTCGGCTGGAGCCACCTGGCTACTGGTTTCAGTGGTCGTCGTAGTGCTGGTCGTGGTCGTGGTCTCCTCTGTGCTGCTCGTGGTAATGGGATTCACCGTCGTGGACTCGTTCTTCTCCACTTCCGTCTCCACAGGCGTTGGCAGAGGCGGCGTCTGCGTAGTGGAGGTGGTCAGCAAGAGTGGTGTTGGCAGAGGTGCAATCACAGGACTGACCAGAGCGGCGCCAATGATCACCTCATTGCCCAGGGTGAGAATCGGCGGCAATAGCTTGTTGTTCGCCTTGATGGGCACCAGCATCTGCATCACCGGCTTGGCATCCTCCCGGCCTCCAAACTTCAGGTTGTGCACCAGCGAAGGCAGGTCCACCCTGTACAGCATGGGCAGCACCGTGCACACCTCCTGGTCGTTCTCGAAGCACTGGGATCTACCTCGGATTCGGGCCTCCTGGACAGCCATCAAGCGACACAACTCGTTCAGGCGCACATCACACATTATGGGATTGTCTGGAAAATGATTGGATAAGGTTAGTTGAATTGATTTTATCAATATCATTAAGATTATACGTAGTTATATAAACACGAAAATAACATATTACAACTTTAGGGCTATTAAAAATTGACTAGATGCGCATTTTCTTTAGGTATATTATATTAATGATGTAAAAACGCCTGCTAAATGGTCTTCTCTTTTATTACCAAGCCCTTAGTCAACAAAAATAATTTTTTTTATAGGTATGAACCTCAAAACAGCGTATATACGTTGGAAGTAATACATGAGATCATTGTAGAACATTTTAAAACAATGCAAGATCGATAAGTTCTTTCGCTTTTAAACTGACTAATCATTATATTAACTAATAATAATTAATAAAGTTGAGACTAAAGAAATATACTCATAAGTAAAGACAAAAATAGCCCTACGCTATCCAAATAACCAATATTTAATTGTAATCCTCAGGAAGTTTATAAGATCTTTCTACAAACTTCTTAAGAAAACCACATGCAACTTAAATTTTCCCTATTAATGACATACCATCTAGATGTATCTCCAGTTTTCCGGGAACATTGTGATTTTTGCAGCGCGTGTTGGTGACGAGTTCACTTGATATGGTCGAAATCTGGTTGTTGGTCAAGTTGGCCTGGCACAGCACGGGCAGACCCTTGAAGTCCTGCTCCAGCTTGGTTATATTGTTGTATGCCACCTTCAGGATCTTTAGGTTTGGCAGCACGGTCTGAAAATCAATAAAATAAGTATATCAAATGGCAAATTCAGAGGTAACCATTTACCATTTCCAAGGGCTTAAGCTCCGCTAATTGATTTCCGGTGAGGTCGAGGATTTCCAAACGGATCATGCCATCGAAATCGCCCACCTGGAGGTGCTCCAATCGATTTCCGGCCAGATTGAGTATGCGCAGATAGCCCAGACCGGCTAGGGCACCATTCAGGGAATCGATTCTGTTATTATCCAGGTCCAGATTGACAAGGATCAGGTTCTGCACTCCTTGGGGATCGGGTAGTAGCCGTTGTATGCGATTGCTGGACAGTAGGAGGGTCTTAAGCGAACGCAGTCCATGTAGTTCCGCCATCGAGAACTCTTCGATGTCGTTAAAAGAGAAGTTCGCAACCTTCAACTTGAGAATCGGCAGTAGTGACGAATTCAACGATTTGATGTGGTTACTCCCCATCAGCAGGGACTCCACCTTGGAGCAGCTGGCGAACTCGTCCCGGGAAAGGTACTCCAGCTCATTGTTGTCGGCCAGGACCTCGGAGAGATTGACGGCATTGCGAAAGACGCGATCGAAGGACCTCAGCTGGTTGTAGTGTATATGCACCGTCTCCAGGCTGTGCATTCCCTCCATATTGGCGGGAAGTCGTTCCAACCGGTTGTTGTGGGCCATCAGCAGACGCAACTGACTACTATCCGGCAGCTCCCCATCCAGCGTCGTGATATTATTCGCATTGATGAACAGGGACTGCAGGTTCTCCAAATCGTGCAGCGAACCATTGAGCGACTCCAGTTGATTTCTACCCAAATGCAGGATCAACAGGCTCTTGGGAAAAGATCCCCTGTCCAAGCGCTGGATGATGTTGCTGACCAGGATCAGGTTCGTCACCTTCTGGATGCCCCTGAAGTCCTCTTGCTGCACCGCCCGTATGTTGCACCGCCCAATGTCCAGAGTCAAAATGCTCGGCATGTGGCTCAAGGCGTGCTTCGGGATCTCGTCGAGTTCGTTGTCGCCGATGCTTAGGTAGGTGACATTCGATAACCCGCGGAACGGCACCTCGGGCAGCGATCTATAAATAGAGACAACAAAACAAATCCATTACAATTTCGTATTGTTAGAAGGAGAGATCCGGATTGGAGATATGGTCTTAAGAGAAGATCTACCCATTTAAACAGTTTAAAGATTAGTTAAAGCTTAGCAATCAGATGGGGTTTTATCAAGTGTTTCTTTTCTTAATTATGATTGATGTGCACATTTATATCATTCGTACCTGAGTGAGGACAGTCATCGGTAAATATTTACAATGAATGAGACGACTTTACACACTATGTTGTATTAGATAAGTGTAGTTATCAAAACAACTTCTGAAGAATGAAAAATAAATTAAGGACCTTATGTTGAACTACTCTTTTATGTAACCCTGAAAAAAGTGATACATTTCGTCTAGTTGGGTATTTCCCTAGTGTAATCAGGAAAAATAATTGGTTTAGTAGATAACATAAGATCGCTGATGACATTTTGTGTTATTCTTACGTATATTTATTAGAGTCTGAGCAAAGCAATATTTATTTATATCAAGGGGTCTAACTCGGATAGTTAATGGTTATATATTGTTATATAGATTGCTTCTTCCATTGTAAATCCATAATTAGATGGCAGATGGCTTACAACTTTGAACATGTGTATTACTTAGTATTTTTCGTATGATTTTATGAATGGTTTCTATGATGTGAGAGCAATGCCCCTTAAATCTGATTCACGCTATGACAGTGATTCAAGCCAATCTGTAATTAGTTTGGAATGGGCCCATATCATGTTTCGCATCCCTGGTCTATCTTTGGACCTGATGACGCAGCCTTATCAGGGGCTACGGCCCCCGAAACCGCCCCGTCCCGCTCCGCCGCACCTGATCAGTATCTTTATCGACGTCTGCAGGTGGCTATTAAGTTGTCGCCGTCGAGGCGCCAAACGGCCCCCAAGAACAGCAGATTCATGATGGGAACTGGGCTGGATGGCGTGCCAAGTGCATCCTTGGCGCCCGTTATTGGCATGGGATGTGGGATATATGGGATGGGGTGCATCAGATTGATTGGCAGGCTCTATTTTTAGCCAGACGATCTTGATTGATTGCTCCGGCTCCGGGGAGGAGTGCAACTTTATCTGCGAGCTGGGCTTGTCAAGCCTTGATTATGTAATGAGAGAAGCCGGACGAGATGGATGTTCCTCGGCTACTGTATCCATAATGGGCCCGTTGAACTTGAGCACATAGATATCAAGACAGATCGATGGATGTATGCTTTGCTATGTGCGATGTGCGATGTGCGATCGTGCAGAGATATGTATCCACAATTCCTTAACGTCAGCGGTATAATTGTCACACGACCTAAACTGGCCCCTTGATCATTGATTGAGCGTAATAATAAAATTCAATTGGACTGCCTGCTTCGCTCTTGACTGACCCCGGACCAAAGACCACAAAATACGGAGAGAACAGAGAGCCGTACCCCCCACCATATATGTATAAGAAACCCAAAATCATAAACAACAAACAAGCTAGGAACTTTCCATTTTAGAGTAATGTTTTTGGATGCTCTGTTATATTTACTAAGCTTCCTGGAGCACTTGAGCAATCCGTTTTGTATTATCTCGATTTTGGGCCCAGACAGAACAGCTGGAAATATTCCATATGACACCGACACCAAATAAATTATGTGCGAGTAGTTATAATAATCAATGGCCAGGCAGCCAGCGAGTGAAGCCGTCAACACTCCTCACACATTTCTCAGGGTTGAGACTGCACTCCGATAATGGTGGTAATTATGCGAGTCGAGCAATAATAGCCTCAAACAAATCTGCGAGTTATTGAACATATAATGCACATATAGTGAACCCCGAGCATGAGACCTTCTTATCGCCTGGGCAAAGCACAAGACCAAAGCCATCAATCTATCAAAAAGGCCACATAATCCGTACAGTACCCCATTCTTAAAGATTCGAACCACCAGATGTCCTTATGTCCGTCCATTCAGTAGTTGCCCACACTCTACTTGATTACTCGATTACGGGCGATCGTAAAAAGTGATCATAAACATGAGATGATTATTTTTTGGCGCCACTCATAAAGATTTAATGTTTATAAACGAAATGAACAAAATAGTAGCTCTTATCAAAAATCACTTTCATCTGTGTTCCACATTCTAGCTGATTTGGGAAGTGTTCTCGGACTGGATTTATCAGTGTTTTTGAATAGATCATTGGAATTCTTAAATTGACAGATTATAATACTTTTCAGATTTAAGATTTGGTTTCCGAATAACTAAACGGTTTAGTATTTTATTAGAAAAGATTGACAGGCAATCCAGCCCAAATGAAATATGAAATGGGTGACTTCTTAAAAGAGCTACACACGCCGAAAAAATAATCAATTCGGGAATTCCACGCGTCGCACCATATCAGTGTTCTAGGAAGTTACGATCCCGCGATGGCGCCACACAGAACATAATTATTTTATTATTTTCAAAAATGTTTTAATAGGTTTTAAAAGAAATGTGAAAATATTTTCACAACTGTTTTCAGAGTTTTTTGTAAAAGTACATATTTGTTTTTATAAAAGTCGTTCCATTATTCCTATAAGCCCGATTATTTGAAACTTCTCCCAGTGCATACGATTACGCATGTGTGGTAGCGGTACTTTTCCTGGCTGGGTTGGCATGATTTGGTCAAAGCGCGATATTAAGGCAATAGGTCAATTGTTATAAATTGACATCAATGTAAAAAGCGTTCCCCGAGCAGCCAGAATCGGAGGCAGTGGCATCAGAGGCACGCGCTCCCCGCCGGATTCTCGATTCTGGGGGAGATCGGCGATTGGGGAGATGGTGCACAACACTGATTCGATCAAGTCGGGTAATTAAATCATTTCGTTTTACATACAAACACACAAATTGCATTCGGACGATGATAAATCGAATAGTTTAATCTTAGAAGTGAAGATAACATAACCCGTAAAACAGATTTAAAAACACATTTTTCCCAGAACTAAAATGTTGCATTCTGGGAACTCGAATGGCTTTCAATATTATGGTTTCAGAATTATAATCAATCAAGGTTTTGTCAAAAATGGCCGAATATTAACCGAACTTGAAATCACAAATATATATAGAACTAAAACGTCGCTTTCTGGGAACTCGAGCGGCTTTCAATATTCTGGTTTCAGAATTATAAACAATCAAGGTTTCTTCAAAAATGTCCGAATATTAACCGAACTTGAAAGCACAAATATATTGAAAAGAACGTGATTTTGATATCAGTATCATCATAAAACCAGCTTATAAATTCTTAATACATTCTATGAAATAAAGATTAGCTTACTAAGAAATGTTCAGCTAATTATTCAAACAAACATGAATGATTAAATGATTCTTAAAATTCGATTCAAAACAATACCACATTGGAACCCGAAAAAAATGATCTTGTGAAGTTTGGATTCCAATCGCGTTCTTGTGTTTGCATACAGTATTGAAAACTTTTTTGGGGCTCGAGTTTTTGGTTTCTCTCCGCTGAATGAATTTCTTTGGGCACAAAGAATCATGACTCATAGTTAGCTTAAAATCGAGACTGGCTGTAAAACATCAGAGTCAAATATCAATGAACCCGCGGCAGGCGCTTATGAAATAGGCTCGAATGTTATTTCTATACCCGCAAGTGCATTTATTTATATTTGTTATTTATAATTGCCAATATATAAAAGACAATGCGACAGTGAATTGAAATTCATTCAGAGTCAGAGTGAGAAAACGTGCAGGCGCCGTTGAAAAAACGCTTTCAATAACTGCAGTTATCAATTTTGTGTACGCATTAAGTATACGTCGTGTACAGCCATCTATAAGCCGAAGTACATAATAGAATCCTCCCCACTGATACACACATGTGTATACGGTGATGATAAGACGATGATAAGGTATCAATTCAACAATAAGAAAGATTCTAGCTGCGGCGGAATCTTCATAGATGTTTAGTTGGTAGCGTATACAGAGTATGAGGATAGGATCCAATCGGATCCCAAGCCTGTTGGTAATTTGCAGCAATTCAATGCTACTTCCTAATTGAAAAATTAAATCATCTGGGCGGCAATTAAGATGCGACTGCATCCAGCTCCACCTCCACGTCCACCTCCTTCGCAATTTCGCCCAATTGAGCCATAGATAATGAGGCGGCACTGGGCTCTTTGACGTAAACAAACGACATTGTTATTGTTTTAGTATCTATATGGCTGTAAACAAGACCTGGGGATCCGATCTGAGGAGCACATTTTTTCGTGCATTTACATAAGCGTATTGAAATTTGTGTACATTTTGCATTATTATTTTTCGCTCGGTTTTTATTGGGTTTAAGGAACCTAAATTGATAGCCGGCCGAGCGGAAAATTCTGCCTTTCTGCGGAACACGGCTAGTAACCTTGAACTCCCCAACAAAGATATTTTGATTGAATCTATAGCCGGGAAATTTCCCCAATAAATAATTTACCTACCCCATTCTACAGCAATCGGCCCACGCTTCCATGAAATCTTAAGACCCATAGAACATGTTTTGGTAATATCTCTCTGCTAACTATATCCTTCCTTTTATATAGGTACATTAGTAAAACCAAATGTGTTTATTCTTTGAAGATATAGAAACAACATACGATTTGTATACCATAAATACAAAAGGTGATAATATTTGAAATACTACAATATGATTCATAGAACATGCCAATCTACATGTAAAATAAAATAAAAAAAAATAAAAAACAGTACGCCCTGAAAAACCCCTACTTTTCTCACCCTCGGAAAATATAACCGAAACAATGATTCAACTCACTTTAGACCGTTCCACTGCATCCGTAGCTTGTACAGGTTGAAGTTCATATCCGTAAACGATTTCATTTCCAGGTCCTCGAGATGTGAATACGTGATCTTCAGGTCGATATGGGTGTCCGGGTTGAGCTTATTGGCCAGGCTGGTGACGACGGCATCGAAGGATTCAAGTTTCTCGCAGTAGAGCTCCACATGGTTCCAGGCCTTGCCCGCTTCGCAGGTGCAGGGCGAGATCTCCGGCCGCACGGAACACTGGAGGGTGGCCAGGTTGAGGACGGTGTACACGAGGGAAGTCATTTTGTCGAGTGATCGACCGGTCACTCGGTAATATCAAATTCACAATTCTTTGGCCAGGCAGATGGGACACTTTTATTTGATCACTGAATCTGTTCACAAATCACGGGTTTTCAAGTTCGGTACTCGGGAAACGTTGCATTCGCTCGGGCGGCGGATTACCAACTGTTTGAGCAGGCCGCTCGGCAAAACACGGAAAACTCGGGAAATAACCCACTAGGCAAACATATGCGTGTGTGCGGGGGTTTCCATTGCAGCTCGGTTTTCCAGCAGGATTTTGTAGATACTATCAACCGCTGGCATCGGATTTCAGGGCAACACTGTCACTAGTTTTTCGTTTTTCTTTCGATTTTTTCAGAAAGAAACACACGCGCACTACACTTTAAGATCCGTTGGGTTGATCGTATCGATTCTTAACGGCCGAGATATGCAGAGCTGGAGATGCTCCTCCTCCGCCTCTCCCTATCTGGCTAGACCTCTTGACCCGTTTGTATATAGATCGCCGATGCTCGGAATATTAATCTTCTAAAAAATTGTGTGTGTTAATTGTTGATTTCGAACACCGCGAGTATCGCTGAATATAATATGGCTATGGTGGCTGGTGATCACGTCTTTACTCCAGAACGTACAATACTCGACTGGGCTTCGGTGAGGATTCGTGAGTGCCTCTGCTTTCCGCTTTCTGCTGCTGTTGCTGCCGGCGTCGCTGTTGCTGCTGTTGGTGCTGCTGCTGCTGCTGCTGCTGGTCTTACTCTCTCCGATCTCTTGGCTCTCTCTATACCGAGATCTTTGAGAGGCTTTTTGGCCAATTGGGGACTTGGGACCCGGCTATAATTGTCCACAACACTCAATTACATGTGTTCCTGTTCTTTCGGCGCCAGGCATCAATCTCCATCTCTATCTGCAACTCAATCTCGTTTGGGCCCCCCGATGTTGCTGCTGGGAACTTCTTCGGAACCTAGTTCTATGTATGGGGCATCATTATATTATCATGGACACATGTTGGTACTTACATATGTAGTATGTGCTGCTCGCTGGCTTACGCACTCCCAATAAATTGTCCTTTACATAGACATCTGGCACTCGCCTCGCCGAGAAATGTTTTTAATTATGACTTTTCGGATCGTATCGGATCGTTGGCAGCGTTTGAATGGAACCGGCTTGTTTAAGGATCTCGGCAGCCCAATTGAGATTGGGCCAAATGAAAATTTTCCATTGGCGCCACAGCGATGCAGCATTTCATGGGGCAGGGAAGCTGGAAGCTGGGAGCCGGGAGCAGGAGCCATGCATCAAAGTCCGCTGCCTTAATTTATCTCCAAGTTCTGGGCCCGCATGCATAATTAAACACTGGGCGCCTTAAATGCGCTCGCCACAAATTCCGCAAATTCCCCGGATTGCGCGTGCCAACGATGTCTGCTCCTCATCGTCTGCAATTCTGGATGCAATTAATCATCGGGATCATCGGGGGGCGGCAGCCGAGTGGCTTCTGTTGCCCATGCCCGTCCAGCACATCCATCTCCGTTTTCCATGCAGACCGTAAGCTCCCGAGAAACCTTGGCACGATTATGTTATGTTTAGGGCCGACTGAAAGATTAACTTAATTACATACAGCACGGTTCATCAATTTAATAGGGTTTGATCGACCCAAGAACTTTCTTCTATTTCAATAAAGGAAGCCAATTCTTATACTATTACCAATTTCTAAAATGTAATTCTTCAGAAAAACGTTTAAAAATATAATAGTAGATTGGTTTTAAGCCTTGAAAAGTTTATCTACTGCCGAGAAACCTTGGCACGATTATATTATGTTATGTTTAATTACATACAGCACGGTTCAGAAATACTTACGTACTTTCGAAGGCGGACTCCATCTGCCATGTTAAACCTTAAGGTTTCAGGGACTATTTGCATTTAAAATTACTGAGTACAATTAAAAATGGCTTAAAATATTTTTAGTTTAATAAAAGCAAGCATCATAATTAAAGAAAAAAAGTTACAAAAATTATAAAAATTAATTTACCAATAAACCCAGCTAGATCTTAAAACTAGTTCGAAATACGGATTGATCGTACAATCTCTAAAATTCAACTCCCGACTAATGAAAAAAATATAGAATTACGTTTATGTACTGCACTGTGATTTATAACTGGAGGTATAAAAATATACTTCGATTACGTAGCCAGTCTATTTTAAGCGTCCAATCATCTCAAGTAAATATTTAAAGAAAAGCGGCAAATATTAATTATTATTATTTATTCATATGTTTTCACTTCTCTGCTGTTTCTCGGTATTCTTTTTTTTGCACATAAATACTCTTAACATTTTTATGTGACACATTTTCGTGTTTCGATTGCACACGACAACAATAACAAGGGTAGCGTAGGCTTCGGAATTCGATGACGATAAAATTGGATGGTGTGGGTTGCTGGATGTGGGGCTGGTCGGGTGGGATGTGGTGGATATGCCTCCTGGAATGCTTCTGTTGAAGGCTTATCCACTTGAGATGATCTGCACATTCCGGATCGGTCGTCATCGGTCATCCGGCAATCATGTGCCATCCGGCCCACGTCAATGCCGGTTTGGCGCCGTCCAAAATATTCGCCTGGAATTCGGCTGTCGTCATGGCTCTGTTCTGCTTTTCCACCACATCACGCGACCCGGGGACGCCACCTCCATTTGGGACAATTGAAAGCATTCCACTCGTTGTGTGGGCCCCACATCCAAGTCCATTCAATCCAAATCGAATTTCGATCTCCATATTTTCAGTTAATAAGTGTGTTTATTTTGCTCCTTTATCGCAGCCGAAAAAGCGTTTTTGCTTGGGCTTTGTGTCGTGTCCCATAGTGTGGTGATACATATCAATTGGATATTATTATTCTATGTAGGTTGAAGCATTTGCTAAAGGTCCTCTCCGTGTGTTGGTGTTGTCGCAATCTTCGTCGTCTTCTCGATTTAAACAGAACTTAGCCATTAACTAAATTAAATACAATTCATTAAAGTAAAATGTACAACAAGCACAAGGTGGCCAGGTTTCCATCGCCTCGACCGCCGCCTACTTTTGCTCGACGAACTTGGCGATCTGCGGATACTTGCTGGGCTTGAAATCCGCATCCTGCTTGATGCGCTCCCTAACACCATTCCGCACCGCATCGGTGTAGGAAGCCTGGATGGCGGAATCGTGGGCAATGGAACCGATAACGGAGTCCACACTGATCGAGGAACTCGAAGCACTGCCGCTGGTTCCTCCCAAGCCGGCGCTCTGGATGGCCCTCTGCACTCCGTTGGCAATGAGGCACTCCACGTTGGCTGTCGGTTTTTCTGACTGAATTATTTTGCGCCTCTTGGCGGACATGCCCGAGATGTAGGCATCGGAGAAGGGCGGCTGGGGGCGGTCATTCTGCTGCAGGATTACACATTTATATTAGTGTTGAGTTGCAGGAGGAAGAAAAGGACCTACCTCAGTCTGGGTCTGCAAGTCGCGCGTTATCACAGGCAACCAGTCGTTGGGGAAACTCATGTGCCAGGGTTCCGAGCCCACTATTACGGCGGGCAGTTGGGTCTCTGTCGGCGTGCTGCTGCTGCTGGTGGCGACTTCCGCCATCTCCACATCCGTGTCCAGAGTCTGCTGTTGCGGCTGCTGCTGCTGGGGGTTAAAGGCAAGGGGTGGTGGCGCCACAAATGGCTATTAATGCATAAGTTTCTGAACAGCAATGGAAGTCTGGAAACCTACTTCTTCGACAGCTGTGGGAGGGGCTGCCTGAACGCTGCGAAGGACCAGGAACTGTTGAGCATCCACGGTGTCCGTCTGGGCGGGAATTGTGGGGTCTATGTAGATGCACAAGAACTGCAGGGCTTCATTGCGGAAATCTGCGGAAAAGTGATGAAATAAATAGATAATAATAGGTAGACATTCAGCATTCGTGCATTTTCTAATATTTCAATCTACTTACTGGATCGCATGGGTGCGCAGAGCAGGCGCATCAGCTGGCGCCAGTAAAGCTCCGCATTGGCGCTTCCGAGACACAGGAAGAGGACGCTGTAGAGCCGCTTGCGGAACTGGTCGCAGATCTGCTTCAGACTCTGCTCGAACTGCCCACTATCTGCTCCGCCGGGAGTTGCACTGCACAGCTCGATGATCAAACGAAGGCTGACGCGCAGGATGTTGCACACCGAGTCGCGGGAGTTGTACTCCGGACGCTCGTACTGCGGCAGGTAGACCAAACTTTCGCCAAACCACTCCAGGGCGCGACCAATGGCTCCTGGGATTGTCTGCTCGTTGATGGGCACTCCGACAAAGAGACTGTCGGTCAGGAAGCTGCGCAGCTGGGTACGCAGGTTGCTCGAATCCCCGACTGGCGTGGGTGTGGATGTAGATAGAACCGCTTGTGGTGGCGCAGCAGTGGTGTTGGAAGCAACCGTGGCAGCTTCTCCCGATGATGGGGTGGCTAAACCTCCCACGACGGCGGTGGCGACAGCGTTGCCTGCCGAAGCTGTTGGCGCATTATTTCTCAGATTAAGCAAAAAATTAGCGAGTAGGGTGGGAAATTGTCTGGACAGGCGCCCGGTGGCGGTCTGGAGACGCCCCCGCCGGACGGAGGTCAAGCCTCCGTTGGTGCTGCCACCACCAACGAGGGCCGTTCGAGCCGCCAGCCGGTCGCGACTGATGGGCGATCCTCCCGTGGGCCGTACTCTCCCGGCACCGGCTCCGACTCCGGCCCCATTGGTGCTGCCACCACCAACGTGGGCCGCTTGGATATGGGGGGTTTGGGTCTGCGCCTGCGCCCAGGCTGCCGGACGGAGGCTGCTCAGTTGCTCGCTGGCGGGTCGCTGACGACGCGACGACCACATTGGCCGGACGGTGGCACTGCCGCGCTGGATGCGACCAGAGGTGACTAAATGATGACATGGATAGAATGGAGATTAATGTCAGAGATGGAGGCCAGTCGCCAGTCGAACTGCTGGGCAAAAGGCATTCCCTAGAGCTCTGTGTGAATGAAAATCACATTTTCTAAGCAAAATGCAACGCATATTTAAAAATGTAATGATTACATTATTGATTGGAACTGGAACACCGAGCCGAGCCAAATTCCTCAAAACTAGATAATGGTCAAAGAAAAAATATTGTTTAGTTCCATTTCTTTAAAATGAATTTGAGTTCTTCGAGCTTCTTAGATAAGCCAGATCAACCCGGATTCGACTGGTTCTCATTGGACTAGGGCTTTCCATCTCTGGTTGGTGAGTGTGCGGATGAAGTGGGTTGGTGTGCGAGGTGGGTCATGGCGGGGGTCGTGGGTATGAAGTGGATCGATAACTGTTCCAGTAGGGAAACAGTACTCACCAGGACGAGTTCCCACGGCGGCTGTGGGCGAGACGACGGCGGCTCCTACTGCTGATGCTGTGCTAGTGCCGCGGTTGGTACTGGCACCTTGGGCATTGGTGCTGTGGGGCAGCGGTTCTGGTTCCCGAATGTGATGACTATTGCAAGGCAGGAAGCGGTCGAATGCCGCGTGCGTAGGAGCAATGCGTCCGCCCCAGTTGTTATTTCCGCCAATCTGAATCTGTGGTCTTGAAGTCGAGCGCGTTTGGGTGGCCGTGGTGGGCAAGGTGTTGGCCCTCGGATCTGCAGTGCGCGTTGAAGTTGAAGCA